GGGGGGGGGGGGGGGGGGGGGGCGCGCGGCGGCGACGACAAATGCAACTCTGATCATGGGTCATGTGAGAGTCCCAAGGACACAAGGTTGGCTTGAAGCTACTGAATCTACAAAACACGACAATGTAGTGAAACTTTTCTCCCTAAGCTAAACAGAAATGGATGCTATTTTAGCTCTTGTACATTTTAGCTCTTGTACATTTAGCTAAACAGGAATGGATGCTATTTTAGCTCTTGTTACTCACAAAGGACTGTGTGAACCACTAACTGTTATCAGTCTGTAGTGAGGTACGGAGCCCAAGTTCAAACCATCACAGGCTGGTTCCAGCGCTGGTCCACACCCATGTAATTAAAGTAAAGGGGGGGTCTGTCTATAAAATAATTGCAGTAAACCAGGTTCACAAAACCGTTCACAAACCCCAGTGAAGAGAAACACAGGCTTTTGCACATCACATCCCAGGACCATGTTCCTGTTGTGCCAGCTCACAAAAGCCATTCAGTCAACATGCTACGGACCATCAAAAGGGGATGCAGCTTCCTTCCCCAACAGCCCACCACAACACTGGCCGAAGCCCCTCACTCACATGTCCTCCACTGTGATGTCTTTCAGGATCTGGCAGTAATCCACATTCCACACGGCCTGGTCATCCCACACCTTGGAGGCCAGCAGGATCGCCCCTAAAACAATTCGCTTCCAGTTGGCTGGACAGATATCTATCTCTGCATACGTTAAAAGTCTTTCAAGGTATACCTGGGAAGACAACAATGCCAGAGCTAAATGACTTGTTTTCTCCTTCACACTAGCATACTTCACGAAGTGCTAACATTGTTTACTTCTATTTCACTAGCCTTTAAACAGGGATTTGTTACCTGATCATATTTATTTTTAAAAGGCCAAAGAGCTCAATGTATCTGATGTTTAAAAAAAAACAACACAGGCTAAAGGTCACCCTCCATAGTTGATATAGTCATGGATGGAGCTGGATCTTAAACAGATTCTGAGCTGGAACAGATTCCAGGAGCCACAGGGCAATTTCTCACCCATCAACTATAATTTCAACATCAATTCAACAAATGTTCCAATAGGGAGGACAGAGGATATTAAGGGAATAAACCTTTTTTTAGTAAGTTTTTAAAATTAAATTTTTATTTTGCAATAATTATAGATTTGCATGTAGTAGTTGATAAGCCTATTTATTATTGTTATGGTAAAATATGCAAAATAGAAAATTTACCATTGAACCATTTTCAGTTCAGTGGCACGAAGTACATTCACACTGTTGTGCAACCACCACTAACATCCATCTACAGAAATTTCTCATCTTTCCAAACTAAAACTCCATTCCCATGTAATGACAACACCACACTCCTCCTTCGCCCTGAAAACCACCATTCTACTTGTCTCTGATTTTGACTATTCCATGTGCATTACACTGGTGGAATTATACAGTATTTGTCCCTTTGTGTTTGTTTTATTTGTCAGCATAACGCTCTCAAGGTTCATCTATATTGTAGCATGTGTCTAAATTTCCTTCCTTTTTAGGGTTGAATTATACTCCACTGTAAGCACATGCCCCTCATTGTGTTTATCCATGGACATCTGAGTTGTTTCCTCCTTTTGGCTACGTGAAAAATGCAACTATGAACACTTGTGTGCACAAATATATGTTTGAATCCCTGCTTTTAACTCTCTTGGATATATACCTAGAAGGAGAACGGCTGGACCACATGGTAATTCTATGCTCAGTTTTTTGAGACGCCACCATACTGTTTTCCAACATGTATCCACTTATATTCCAGCAATACACAAGGATTTCAAACTCTCCATACCTTCCCTCAGGATGACCTTGTTTTGCTTTGCAATAGTCATCCTAATGGGTATGGAGTGGTATCTGTCACGATTTTCTGTGTTTATTTTCAAATAGTTAGAATAAATCATTTCAGTTAAAGTTGGAAAATAAAACCAAATAACAGGATTTCTGAACTGACAGAATTAAGGCTTGCAGACAGACATCAGAAATACCCAGAAAGCCCATTGCTTTGGTTGCATCACAAGGTCAGAATGGCTTTTGTATTTCCCTGTGGTAAAAATCTGTTTATTAGTATGCTCTGCACTTCTTTGAACCATGAAATTATTCTCTCTACAGCTTCTATCAAATACATTCACATCCAAAAGAAACAAAATTAAACAGCCATTATCCACACTTTAAAAATTTGCTTTCTAAAGCAATGAAACCCATATAGTGTGGCAATTATTCATAGTATATAATGTCCAAAAACACTTCCATATTTTAAAAACTGCAAAAAAGGCACGAGTGGAAAAGAAAATGTTAGATACATGATTTGTTTTCAGTTAAACAATATCCACATTCCTAAATGGAATGGGAAAGTTGAAAAAAAAAGGAAGAATCCACACCTGTTAGCTCACTAGGGGGCTTTGGGAGGAGGCTGGATTTCAGGAAGTTCTGGAGAAGAGGTTCGTTCAGATTGGGAAAGGTCTCTCAAAGGATGTAAACACACGGGTGATGTACAGGATGATGCCACAGTAGAATCATACAACAAAAGACCATGGGATGAGAACAGACACATGAAAGGTGTGCTCAAACAAGTGAGCTTGACTCATTCTTCACTGTCTGAGTACTGAGTACCTGCCATGTGCCAGGCACTGTGCCAAGTGCTGCAGACACGGAAGGGGTGGTAGCAACCACTCTAGCCACAGAGTGGAGAACAGCTGACGGGCAAGGCCATCTGGAGATGACGGTGCAGGACCAGCGTCTGAACTGGGAACATGACAGTGGGGACCGACAGGACTGTTCTAGAGATGTACAGGAGGCGACCCCAACAACCACAGAACTGGGCTACTCTGAGAGATCCCAGGCTTCCCCATGAGCAGCAGGGTGGGTGCTGTCCTCTGAGAAGAGAGAACTGGGGAGGAAAAGGTTGGTACCAGCCTGACTCTGGATGCGCTGGAAGATGCCATACAGGCAGTGAACATGCAGGTCTGCAGCTCCAAGGAAACAGCTATGAGATGTCAACTGGAGAGTCTGTGACATACAACAGAATCAAGCCTCCAGCACGAATCCAATGACCTGGTGAGACTTCAAAACAGAAGAAAACAGGGACCAGGCCCCAGTCTGAGGGTCCCTCCCACTTAAAGGGCTAGAGACAGGAAGGTGGGGCAGCAAGGAGAGGGAGGAGTAAAACCCACTATATCCTGCCTCTGCTGAGTCTTGTAATAATAGTCTGGAGAAGGACTTACAAGGCAAAGTTATATGTCTGCAAGTGTCCGAATGAGGCTTACGATATTATTCAGAGAATATGAGAAGGAAACTGAAGTGGTCCCTTGCACAATACAAAATAAAATTAGAGCAGCAAGAACTCTTCAGGCAGGGTAGCTTTCTAGTGCAGGAGAAGTTCAGCAGGCTACCAGAGAGATCTTACCAGAAAAACAACCACAAACAATAGCATTCAGGAAAAAGGACTGCACTGACAAAGGTACAGTGAATCAAAGGGGAAACCGAGTTCTCAATTTGTGAGACAGCTGCACTGGTGAACAATGACATTCAGAGGAGGCAGCTACAGGGAGGAGTCCACTCTGCTGTGTCACACATGGGAAGTCAGGGATCTTCTTGTAAGGCCCAGGGTGTCACAAAGCATGGCATTCTAACTGCACTGTAAGGACCTTTGTGGGAATTTCCAAACATCTTTCATTGGACAATAATAGGGTATGACAACTATTGGTGAAAAAAGTAGGTCACTCAGTAGAACTCAATTGCCTTATCAATTTTTGAAATTTTAGTTTTTAGTGGCATGTGTTATATTACATTTGTAAAGAAAGAGTAAGCTAATGTTTTAGAACATGATTTTTCTTTGTGTAAAAATTAAAATTATTCAGATAAAAATCTAGGTGAGGTCAAGTGGAATTCCAGCCGGGCACTGAACCTGGGGACCCCAGACTGCATGTTTCACAAAGGTCAACAACTAACTCCCCACCAAAGAGAGAATCAGAAATATATAATAAAGTTGCACTGAGAGCAAAAAACTGTGAATGGACCAGACTAAGTCTCCAGATCTTTAAATCAAAAGACAATGGAAGCTGTGAAGCAATCTTCACCCAGATCCTGAAGACTCTACTCCTGTATATATGTGAGCTAATCTCTCCAAGGTCTCCAAAGAAACATATTCTCACTGGCTCAGTGCAAAAAAGGAGACTACATTTTCTCCTGACTACTTAAATTACCTTAGTTGACAGATATATTAGAGAATATTTAAGATAATATTTTATGTTTGGAAAAAAACCTATCAGACATCTACCAGGTGCGATATACCGTAAGGGCTAACCGAAGAAATCAGACATTATAATATACTCTATAACCAAAGGAAAGCAGTTGTTATATTGGGAGATAAGGTACTCACAATACGCTCTACGTAATAACATTTAACATATAATAGCAGAACTTGCCAGCAAAGCTATATTCAAGGGTCAGTTGCAATTTCTTTAGTAAACTCCAACTTGGGTATTTTAATTCCCTGCCAAGTAAAATAATATACAATTGATTTTTCTAACCATTATCCCTAGGCCACTGTCAACAGGTCACTCTTGCTCAATTAAGTTTTCAGATTTAAATTCATGAGAATGACTATCCTAAGACATTTCTCTAGAAAACACAGGTTAATGAGCTATTATAGAGCTACAAGGAGTATTCAGTTGACTGAACACAATAAAACTGTTCAAAGGCATTTGGAGGGGGATAAAATGCAAACTCATGAAATCAAGGATACATGTAAACAAAAACCCCAATGAAATTAATCCAATTCAATTTTAAAGAGTAAAGATAGGTCAGTTAACTGTTTAATTCCACACAAGGTATGATTTCCTTCTGGATTTTAATCCTGCTGTCTTATGAAAGCTGTTTAGTTCAGATAATTAGAACATATTCCAATAAGGCTGAGGTCAGGACTACAAAGCCAAGACTTTGTGAAAAGAATTGGTAGCTTCATTCCATTCTCAATTATAACCCAATTCCAGACAACCATCTAATGAATGCACTATTTTTTGAGAATGGGGCTAGCTACCCAAATTCCTAGTATTCAACAATGCTCTATGAATTGCCACGTTTGTGGCTATATGTATTTTTTAAAGGAATAATTATCATTTTCTGTTTATAAAATTTCTGTCACCTTTCACATTTGGACACTTTAATTACCTGATGCTGTAAGATTTTCTAATAACCTGGAGTATATATTCATATTATTACAACAGGTTAATAAATTAATAAAGTATAGCCTTTAACCTAAACTACTGCAATAACCTCTTTATTGGTGTCTATGGAGAGATCTTCATAAGATACATGCATGATTCTGTCAAGATCTGTCGATATGGGTTGAACTGTGTCCTCCTAAAATTCATATGTGAAAGTCCTAGCCCCCGGTGCCTCACAACCTGACCTTATTTGGAGACAGGATCTTTACAGAGGTCATCAGGGTGAGCCCTAATCCTACATGCCCGAGCCTTTATACAAAAGGGACACCTGGAGACAGACATTCCCGCAAGAGACACCACATGAGCAGGAAGATGGGTGTCTGCAAGTCAAGCGGAGAGGCCTGGAGCAGAGCCTTCCCTCACAGCCCTCAGAGAAACCAGCCCTGCCAGCACCTTTATTTCTGACTTTGGCCTCCAGAACTGAGTTCTACCTTTCTGGTTTCTAAGCTACCCAGTTTGCAATACTCTGTTGTGGCAGCCCTGAGAAT